GAGGGAGATTAGACGGGATACCCTTTGGCTTGCTTTAAGAGTGTAAGCCGTCTTCTGTCAATGTGAAAGGTGTACGGGGTTGTGATGTGTATAGTTAGTGTATATTTTGTGCGTCGTGCGTAAGTGCGTGTGTGTGTGTTTGTGTGTGTGTGAAAGAGAGAGAGTGTGTGGGGGGGGCAGCAGTGCAGGTCTGATTGTGCATGGCAGCAGGACAGGATGATGCGCTGCCTTTCTTCCATCCGCCCCACCTTGATGTTGCCAGAGATGTCGCTCTTAACGGGCGCAAACGCAGTGGAGCCAAGCGCATCTGCAAAGCAAGATCAGGGAGGTGTGGTACGAGCGATAAGCACTTCAGCATCGCACACACACACACACACACACACACACACACACACACACACACACACACACACAACGTACACACACACACACACACACACACACACACACACACACACACACACACACACACACACACACACAACGTACACACAACGGACACGGACATGAACACACCGAAGATGGGAAGAATCTCCTCTGCCGAGTCCACAAACGCTGTTGTCAACAGGATCTTCTGGTCGGATTCTTCGGCATCCTGCAGCGCCGCTGCAAAGTCAACCTTCCGCGTCGTAAAGAACGTCATCCTCGGTGCTGCTGATCTGGGTGATATGTGTGTTGATCTGTGTGCGTGTGCGTGTGTGTGCGTGTGTGCGTGTGTTGATCTGTGTTCTCTGCTGTCCTTTGTGCTCTCTTTCTTCTTCTTCTTCTTCGCCCAAAAATAAACACGCACAATTCCGTGACCAACAGAGCACTGCACGACCAACCAACCGCCCACCACAACGGAAGGTCAGCACACGACCTTGTTGACCTGGCCTTGCCGTGCTTGCTTGCTTTGGTGAGTGTACTTGCTGACACGCTCCTCCGAATACCCCAGGCTGTGGGTTTCGCTGACACGCTCAAACAACCAACCCACCTCCACAAAACAAAGCAGGTAGCCAAAGCAAGCAAGCAAGCAAGGATCATCAATACGTCACTTGTAGTTGGAACACATTGTCGATCAAACGAGCAAGCCGCAACAGACGACGAAAGCAGAGCAGCAAGCATGTCGATGGACACTGCAACCGATGCCGCACAGCCGGCGGTGGCACCACTTGACGTGCAAGGACGCTCCTTCAACATCACCCCTCGCTATCAGGAGGGCCAGCTCGTTGGCGAAGGTGTGTTTGTGGGGGGGGGGGCATGTGTGCATGTTTACACGTGCATGTGTGCATGTGTCACACCTTGTACCCAAAGCATTCTTGTTGTTTGCACATGGTTGTGCCCTCTTTCATCGCTTCCGCTCAACCTCGCCACTACACACACACACACACATACACGCACACACAACACACACGCACGCACGCATATAAACACACACACACACGCACATAAACACACACATAACACACACATAACACACACGCACGCACGCACATAAACACACACACACGCACATAAACACACACATAACACACACACACACACATTCATCGCATCAGGTGCATATGGCATGGTGATCTCTGCACTTGACACGAAGACGGGTCAGCGCGTGGCGGTGAAGAAGGTGACGCCGCTCACACACCAGACGTTTTGCCAGCGCACGCTGCGCGAGATCATCCTCCTCTCGCGGCTCAAGCACGACAACATCGTCAACCTGATGAACGTGATTGCCGGCGACGAGCAGCCGCTGTCCGAGGTGTACCTTGTCCTCAACCTCATGGAGACAGACCTGCACAAGCTGCTCAAGAGCCTCAACCGCCGTGGCGAGTGCCTCAGCCCCTCCCACACGTGCTTCTTCCTCTACCAGATGTTCCTTGGCATCAAGTACATCCACAGCGCCAACGTCATTCACAGGTTTGTCATTGCATGCACGCATACGTGTGTGTGTGTGTGTGTGTGTGTGTGTGTGTGTGTGTGTGTGTGGACGTGTGTGTGTGTGTGTGTGTGTGTGTGTGTGTGTGGACGTGTGTGTGGACGTGTGTGTGTGTGTGTGTGGACGTGTGTGTGTGTGTGTGTGTTTTCATATATTTGAGCAGATGTATGCGCAGGCAAATGCTTGTGTTTCAAGCGAGTAGCAGCCGCTTGCATTGCTGACAACACCTCCCCTTCACTTCTACCTTTGCATCCTTGTCATTGCAGGGACTTGAAGCCGGGCAACATGCTGATCAACGTGTCCAACTGTGACCTGAGGATATGCGACTTTGGTCTCGCGCGTGTGTACGACCCAACGTTCACCCAGAAGGGCGAGCTCACCGAATGTAAGCAGGAAGAGGAGGAGAGGCAAGGGGGGTGTGGTTCGTGAGCCTTTGAGGTCGCACGTTTTACGACCCACCTGTAACGTGTGCGTCACTCGAAGTAGGACCAACAAGGACAAACACATTTGCTCACACTTACTCACTCACTCACTTACTCACACATACACACACACTTACTCACACACACACACTCTCTCTCTCTCCCTCCCTCCCTCTCACACACAAAACTACACAACATACACACGCTCACACACTCGCTCTCTCACAACTGCACAACATACACTCTCTCCCACACACTCACTGACGCAGACGTTGCGACGCGGTGGTACCGTGCGCCCGAGGTGATGGTACGGCAGCGCGCCTACAGCAAGGCCATGGACATCTGGTCGCTCGGGTGCATCCTGGCCGAGATGCTCAGCAACCGCGCCATCTTCCCTGGAAAGAACTACCTCGACCAGATCAACAAGATCCTTGACATCATCGGCAGTCCGGACGACGAGTCGCTCCGGGAGATCCCCAACGAGCGGTCACGCGGGTACCTCATGGCCCTGCCCCAGCGCGACAGGAAGGATTTCACAGAGCTGTATCCGCAGCAGCCGCCACACGTGCTTGATCTCCTGCAGAAGCTGCTTGAGTTCTCCCCCTCGCGTCGCCCCACGGCCGAAGCCGCGCTCGACCACCCATACTTTGAGGACTACCACGACCCCGCAGACGAGGTGCTGGTCGCTGCTCGAGCATTGTTGTGTGTGTGTGTGTGTGTGTGTGTGTGTGTGTGTGTGTGTGTGTGTGTGTGTGTGTGTGTGTGTGTGTGTGTGTGGACAAGCATAGAAGTGGGGGGTGGGGGGCGGACGGGAGGAGCTCGATATAAGATAGGGAAAAGAAATGCGATAGAAGGTAGATGGAGTATGGAATTCCGTCTGGGGTCGCGGGTGTCGATCACGCGGTGAGACAGCAGCTGCAGCTTATGAGGAGTGACTG